AACAAACACATACATAGAAGTGAATGGCCTTGTCGGTCTGTGCCCCCCTTTTTTTATCAAAACTGGACTCGGACTCGGACTCGGACTCGGGTGGTGTGGACTCGGACTCGGGTGGCGCGGACTCGGACTCGGACTCGGGTGGCGCGGACTCGGACTCGGACTCGGGGGGTGCGGACTCGGACTCGGACTCGGACTCGGGGAGTGCGGACTCGACTACAACACTGCTGGAAAATAGAAACGGTTCTAAATATTTTTGTCGTCGAGATTGCCGCTGGTCGTTGGCAATGGCTCATAGGAAACAATAGTTTCTAATTTTCTGAAAAGTCGTTTGTCGTTACGGTCGGTCATTACTGCAGTGTATCTTGGTCTTTAGCTCTAGTACTATAGCCCGAGTACAGTTGCGGCCTGCGGCAACTGTACGCGAACTATAGTATATATACCAATGAGCTAAATAATAACAAGGAGAGGAAGCGCCGCCATATCTGGCACAAATCATGGCCATATTTGGTCATATTGGACTAGAACAGATTAGTGTTCTATTGTGTCTGGGTTAGCTCTGCACAGCCGTTTCAGCTGACTATGGTTCATAGATGGCGTCCTTGAGGCGAAAAGCACACAGCCAATCCACTTCCTTTCCTTGTTATATTTAGCGCCTTAGTATATATTAACATTAGGTCTCAGGGGAGAGATAGTGAATATAGAAATAAGTTGTGGTTATAGAAATCAGTTAACCCTAACCCTAACCCTAACCCTAACCCTAACCCTATCTCTAATTCTAAATTAAAACAAAATTAGCCAAAAATAATAAACAATAAAATAAATAAAAGACAAAATTAGCCAATCAGAGCCGTTTTTATTGGCGCTTATTTAACGCGCCCTCTAGCGGATCACTATTTCTCCCTTGTGCACAATTTAGAGGTATGTATAGTGTTACAACTTAGTGAAGCAGTTGACGGTAATTAAATAACCTATACTGCCTATAGCTGTACTAAACTGTCCTTTTAGTTCTATATTTTACAGTCGCAGAATATTTATGCAGAAATCTTTATGCATACAATAGTCAATAGCATTGGTAGTGATATGGTTTACATTCAGACAAGTTTCAGAGCGAAATGACTTACAATTACGTCTTATGGTAGCCCTGTGTTTCGGTGCCAACCCAACTGTCAGTCAGTGACCAAATACCTTTTTTTCATGCAAATATATGTAAACGGAATTTTGCATTTTTGGTGTGTACAATGAATCTCTATGGCAAAACGGAATTTCCATTTTTTCTATATTTAGAAACGGAATTCATGATTTTCCCAAACGGAAAAAGGCAATTTTTTGAAACGGGAAATCACTGTCCCTAATGATGTCGGCATAAACTATCGGGCACTTACAGCGATCCTTAGTCTGCAAGGGCAGGCTGCACGGCATAGCAGCCGTAACAAGTGAGGTGCTATCCGTGAGGGTATATTATATTACCTAGGAGAAGGAAATATCTGAATCCAAACCACCTGCTACATTATAGCAAGAGTAGATAATAGGAGAAGAGTATGACACCGTTTTAACAGCGTTTTGCATAGTTTTCAACTTGTAAATATACTATCAATATGTGAATAAATAACTTTACCTTGTTTTCGTCTATGATTCTCCCTTAATCATATGACATCAACAATTTACCTGAAAATCGTACGTGTTCTTCAAAAAAGTTATTTGAATACGACACGGTTTCCCACAGTTTTCACGAGTCGCTGCATCTCCGCCGCCAATGTTGATATAGCGGCGGCAGCACCAGGTTGTAACTACGGGAGGCTCGGGGCTGTTGGGGGATATTAGGTAAGCACAGTAACAGCACTTGTTTCGCTTCCTTATCATCGAATACGATAGTAAAACAGCTAAAATCAGGTGCTAGCTCACCGTGAGCACACATATATTTCTAGCACGCTGGAAATGCATTACACACTCAATACAATTCGATTCCCAACAGCCCCCAGCGGCCTGTCACAGACAATAGAACACTAATCCCATATCAAAGTTTTGCTTTTTTAACATGCAGCGACTCGTGAAAACAGTGGGAAACCGTGTCGTATTAAAATGACTTTTTTGAAGAACACATACGATTTTCAGGTAAATTGGTGGCGTCATATGATTAAGGGAGAATCATAGACGAAAACAAGGTAAAGTTTGAATATATTTATTCACATATTGATAGTATATTTACAAGTTGAAAACTATGCAAAACGCTGTTAAAACGCTGTCATACTCTTCTCCTATTATGTACTCTTGACTATAGGTTATGCTTTTTCAGGCAACGGTTAGGCTCACCGCTGATAACTGGGGGCCACAGAAGGAGCGCTCACGTCACGGCCCCTGTCAGGTTTCACACCTGCGAATCTTTCTACCACACTACACTGTAGTGTAGTGAACCGAGAAGAAGAAGCGGAAGACTACACTACACCTAATTATGGCTACCCATTACCAACAAGGACAGCACGGGCCCTTATCAGGGCCGGCACTGAGTATCATCTCATGCAACGTTACAGGTCTCTCAGACCCCAAACAAGATCTTCTGGCTGAACTGTGTCGGAAAAACGAATGTCACATTCTTTGCCTTCAGGAAACACGACGCGGACCAACAAGTAAACGCCCACAAATCGCCGGAATGACCCTTACAGCAGAGAGACAGAATAATACATACGGTAGTGCGATTTTTGTACGTGATGGGCTAACTGTGGATAAGTCTCTACCAACAGACGATACTGACATTGAAGCTCTTACCATCGAGTTCAAGGGGATTACTGTCACTTCTGTCTATAAACGGCCACGTGCGAAATTCGCCCTTCCTTGCAGGGCTACTATCAATGATGGCCGTATCAATGTGATTATAGGAGATTTCAATAGCCATAATGTTATCTGGGGATATAGCCAAACAGACGCTGATGGAAGACGTGTGGAAAAATGGTCAGATGACAATCAACTGTCGCTTATACATGACGAAAATCTCCCCGGCTCCTTCTACAGTCCACAGCTCAAGTGTCACTACAACCTTGACCTGATGTTTGTTTCTACCAGCATTGCTGGCCAATGTGAGAAGGCTGTCCTGGACCCAATAAAAGGCACCAAACACCGGCCCATTGTGCTTAAAATCCGGGACCTGCTTTCTCCACCTACTAATGATGACACCTCTGAAAACTCCATGCACAACACGAGGCAAAACAAGGAACAAACGGAGACGGATATTTCTATAAACGCTGAACCCGGCACTTCAGTTAGCATGGCTACTGCTATGGCGCACAACGATGAAGCCGGTGCCGAGGTCACGAACGCGGAGCTGCGTGAACTCATCGTCGACCTAAACGCAAGTCTGAATGACAAATTTGAAGCGAGGTTTTCTGACGTCACAGAGAAGATCACCATTTTAACCAAAAAAATGGAAAACCTAAAGATAGAGGTTGACTCGGTTAAAAAAAACCAGAGCGGAGATTGAGCACAGCTACAAAATTTAACAGAAGAAATCGAAACACTCAAGCACGCGTTCCTCCATACGCAAGTTCACGGCAGAAAGTACAGCCTCCCTTAATTATCTATGGAGTCGAGGGATCTAGATGGAGTATGGTCAATATAGAGGATATACCAACACTATCAGAAAACGAAAAAACTAGTCTTGAAGGTTCAATCACATATAAAGAACTTTTAGAAGCGCTAAAAAGATCCCAAAATAATAAAAGCCCGTGTTTTGATGGATAGACTTCCGAATTCTTTAAATTCTTTTGGTGCGACATTGGACAGTTTTTACTCCGTCCCATTAACTATGCCTATGACAATAACACAATGTCCATTACACAAAAGCAAGGTCTGATAACCTGCATACCTAAACCAGGTAAACCACGTAATCGTCTAAAAAACTGGCGTCCAATCTCTCTACTAAATCTGTCTTATAAACTTATGTCATCCTGCATAGCTGAAAGAATCAAAGCAGTTCTAGACAATCTAGGCTAATAAATGAGGATAAAAAAGCCTTTATTCCAAAGAGATTTATTCGCGAAAATATTCGGCTATTGTATGACATGATTTTCGACTAATTAATTTTGAGAAAGCTTTTGACACAGTTTCCTGGGGTTTTTATTAAAAAGGCCCTTGATGTTTTTAACTTTAAAGATTCATTTAAAAAATTGATTCAAATGTTTCAATAAAGTACAGATTCCTGCATGTGGACACCACTGTGGAATCCACAATGGACACTTTTCAAGTTTCCTGAAACTAAGCTGCAGACAAGGGGACCCAATCTCTCCCTACATATTTGGAGAGGATACACCACGGAACGCGACTATGGCGATATGTGGTAGCCGACGTCGAGATCGATATGGCACCCTGATGATGATGATATGTAAATATATGTTTTTTTTTATAGAATAATGGGAAGAGTAATAATTCGTTACCTCATACGTAATAGAATCAGATCAGGCGATCGATCATATAATTACTAAACGCTCTTAACAACGATTGGTATCACAAACATATTTTGTTCACTGAGATTGAGATGGCACTGCGGTGTTGGCTGGTTAATATTTAACAGTTATTCGCCGAAGGCGAGGTGAACCTTGTTCAATAATTTTTTGATAATAATTTGATTATTGAACCAGATTCACCGAGCCTGAGGCGAATAACTGTTTTAGTATAATTGCACGAGTGAATATAGGAAAGAAAACGTTTAGGAAGGAAGCAGTTCGAAATTCTTGTTCTTAAAATTAGATGTAGCCTAAACAATTGTCGGCAACCATTTTGTGGTAACTCAACAGTGCCTGGCATCTATTGAAAATCAGAGTAACAAACCCCAATAATAAGCTTGAATTTAACTACCTACCTCTAAATAGTTTCACTCCGAATTTCGTCACATCTTTTGTATTTTTGGGGATGCCATTTTCTTTAAATTGCTCAATTTCGGCCTCCGAAACATTTATAAATCTAGTCGGCATTTATGGCGCTACTAGTAATGTAAAACCGAGAGGTGAATATCGAAAAATATTCACCTCGGTCTCGACCAATCAGCGCGCAGGATTTCCTATATTCACTCGGGCAATTATACTAAAAATGCATAATCACGGTTACATAGTAGTGACATATTTTCTCGCATGCTCACGAGAAGCGTGTGGAAGCAGGATATAAATTAATAACCAGTACGTTCTAGATCTGTCCGTGCTATCATAGATCGAGATGCGATTCGATACACAGTCACTCCGAGTGTTCCGAAAAGTATGTAATTGTCGTTTTGGCCGTGCTCTATTATATTTACAACGGTTTATCGCGCGGTAAAGTAAACAGAGCTTACCTAGCCTACATGTACACGCTAGAGATGTAACGTAACTGTGCGGTCTTTCTGTGGCGCACGTACGGATATATGTCCTGGACCCGGTTCCACAGTCGTGGATTAACTCTTAACTCTGAGATAAATTCCTTAACTCTGAGTTAACGTTAATCCACGACTGTGGAAGCAGGTCCTGGTTGACGGTGATCTTGTTGTTAGGTGACTATGGCAACCCTTAAAGAGGGTTCGAAGAATGGCACAGTGTAACTCGTTCGTTGTCGACTCAAACTACCGTTAGATGAGGTGCAGTATTAGTTGTGGGCGTGGTATGTTCGCCGATAGTTGTGCTGTAACGGTACCTGTAATAGATGTGTGTGTGCGTGTATGTTGTGTGTATACGTGGCTGTGTAGTGTATACGTGTATGTGTGTGTGGAAACGTGGCTGTGTAGCGTATACATACGTGTATGTGTGTGTGGAAACGTGGCTGTGCAGCGTATACGTGTATGTATGTGTGTATACGTGGCTGTGCAGCGTATACGTGTATGTATGTGTGTATACGTGGCTGTGTAGTGTATACGTGTATGTATGTGTGTATACGTGGCTGTGTAGTGCATACGTGTATGTATGTGTGTATACGTGGCTGTGTAGTGTTACGTGAATGTATGTGTGTATACGTGGCTGTGTAGCGTATACATACGTGTATGTATGTGTGTATACGTGCCTGTGTAGTGTTACGTGTATGTATGTGTGTACACGTGGCTGTGTAGTGTACACGTGTATGCATGTGTGTAGGTGCCTGGCGGGTAGCTGCGGAACGCTGTCCTATAGCGCCATGAATATTAGAATGGGACGTCGGGGGGAGGGATCGAAGAAAAGAATGCAAAATTAGGTGGGAGCAAATGCTGGCAGAGTGAGCGGATCTAGAGAGGGAGGTGAAATGGAGGTCGCGGAGAGACAACGAAGCTGGGCGAATGAGATGGTCACAAATTTTCGTAAATTACCTGGTAAATAAAGAATTCGCGTTCGATGACAGACGACAGAGACGACTATATATACCCTCTTGCCATCGATATCGCTCCTCTGAACGTAAACCAAACTGACATATAGTATGTTTTTGCGTTAACGCCAATAGAAAAATAGAAAAACAATGCAAACAAAGCTCAACTTCTGCCGACCACAGTCTCTCCTGTCTCTTTCTCGATCATGCTTATCTTCTCAAAATAAAGGTGGGCTTTATTTTCTCTCCTCAGTCCCCTCACGCCCATCTTTACTTCGTCCTCCTCCCATTTTTGTTCCCTGTCAACTGCAACGCCAAGCTGACAGTGTGTGAGAACGGAATTGTATCCATGATTAGTGTTTCTGTCTACTGTCGTATTAATTGTTAGCTGGTATTTTGCATTCTCGTGACTTATTCAATGACACGCGATGATTCAATGCGGGGGGAGCGTGATAAACTACGGGAACTACCTGGTTTATGTACTTACAATCGATTAGACACGCACACGCAAACACACGCGCGAGCCCGCTCAAACACACGTACACATACACACACACATGCACATACACAAACACGCACAAACACACACACAATCACGACAACACAACAGCCACAGCACACGAATGGGCGGCAGCTTCGCGGCCACAGACGACACACACATACATACACACACCCACACACACACACACGCACACACACACACACACACACCACACAACACACACACACACACAAAACACACAACAACAGGTGAGAGAGACAGAGAGAGAGAGAGAGAGAGAGAGAGTGAGAGAGAGAGACAGAGAGAGTGAGAGAGAGAGACAGAGAGAGAGAGAGAAAAAAAAAAGAGATAGAGAGAGGGAGAGAGAGAGAGAGAGAGAGAGAGAGGAGAGAGAGAGAGAAGAGAGAGAGAGAGAGAGAGAGAGAGAGAGAGAGAGAGAGAGAGAGAGAGAGAGAGAGAGAGAGAGAGAGAGAGAGAGAGGAGAGAGAGAGAGAGAGAGCGGCGAGAGAGAGATATATAAAATATCAAGAGTCCATAATAGAAAATGACTATTTCTATTATGGACTCTTGATAAATATACACAGCACGAACTAACGAGGTACTGACAGGCTTGTAATCTTGTTGTAATGTTCTACTCTCACACCAGGCCGCCCTTGTGTTTATTAGTTTGGGCGTGCATGTCTGGTGTACACCGGCTTTCAGACAAATAAGCCATCTCTTATTGCTCTGAATTGCCGATCTTACGTTTTCTTTATTCCGTCTCTGTATAATAATGCTACCGCTATATGTTATTAATAAATTAGACATATGCGTTGAACCACAACGCGTACAACTTCCGCCTCCATTCGTTTCTCTTTACGTTTTTCTACCTGTGGATACTGGTGTAGAAATGATAACGATGGTTCAATAAGGACATAGCCACGCCCTTTTCATATAGCGAAACAGCTTTATAAGCTTGAGTAAACCCTCTTGTCGTGAGTAGCGGGGGACTGTAAAACGGTTATGGGTGCAAACGGGTTATCATCACAGTTGTTCCACGGTTATTAATTTATACGTTATATCTGCCTTCTAATGGTATTGGACGGACGGGAGACATCAATCCCCTTTAATTTGTCGACGCGTTCACACATTGGCTGTCCAGTGTGCGGTCGTCGGGTACATAATATCTATCTATATATATATATAAGTCTGGATGCTTTGAG